TGGGTAAATATTTCCAACTTTTTATATAAATTTCCTATCTCATTTTGAATTTGGTACACCTCTTCTAAGCAGCATATTTATATACAGCTTTGATGAAAAATGATATTTAATCCGATTATGACTACAATATGTTTGAATTTATTTCTACTTTCTTCTTTCATTTTCTATGCTTTCACCTTCCATCTTTTATTCTCCTTTCTGGCCTTGTGCTCCATTGATAAAATAAGCTTTTTTATTTAACTTTCTGAAAATCCTTCCTTGCTTTGGAAATCACAGACTTTTATTCTGCTAATTTAGCATTTACTCTTCAAGCTTTAACATATGAAATAAAACATGAATTACAAGATTTTTTTCTTCTTTATTATATTCTGCAGAGATTCTGAAGGCAAAGATTAATACGACATTTGTCAAAATGTCAGTAGCGAACAGTAAAAACTTATTTTTTATACATTGGAAAAAATTCTTAACTAAGGGGTCCTCCTTGATTTTAGATAGCTTACCATTTTTAACTAAATCTAGGAAAGGTTATTGATAATAGCAAATTATATTCCTTCAGCATTTTGAGCACGTGGTTTTTGTCAACCTCTTTCAGCTTTAAAAAAAAATTAGGGGCACTTGGGTGGCTCAGTCAGATAAGCTTCTGACTTTGACTCAAGTCATGATATGGTTCATGAGTTTGAGCCCTGCATCAGGCTCTGTGCTGACAGCTCAGAGCCTGGAGCCTGCTTCAGATTCTGTGTCGCACTCTCTCTTCACCCCTGCCCCTTTCACACTGGTCTCTCTCTTTCAAAAATAAATAAACATTAAAGAAAATTAAAAAAAAAATTAACACAGGAATCTACTTTAAATCTAATTCTCATTGTTTTTAATTATTCTGCATTTTGTCTTTGATACTGTAAAGATTTTTCTCTTTATCTTTGAGGTTTAACAGGGGTTTTTTTAATTTTTTTTTTTTTATTTATTTTTGAGAAAGAGAGACAGAGAGTCTCTCTGTGGGAGGGGAGGGGCAGAGAGAGGGAGACACAGAATCAGAAGCAGGCTTTGAGCTGTCAGCACAGAGCCCAAAGTGGGGCTCGAACTCGTGTACCTCAAGATCGTGACCTGAGCCAAAGTAGGACACTTAACTAACTGAACCACCAACGCACCCCTGAGATTTACCAGTTTTAAACTGTCATATCCAAGCGAAGATTTGATTTTGTGCTTGGCTTTGGTGTTTATGTTCATTGTAAGGACACATCTATTTTCAATATGAGAAACTGTCAAGTAATTTTACCTATCTATATTGTTGATTGCTATAATTTCTTCTTAATTCTTCTAGGCACGTTATACTCCATATCTGCTAAGTGTTCTTATGCATTTTTAAAGTTTTGATCCACCTGAGCTTTTTTGCTTGAATTAATGAATTTTACATTTGACTTGTTAAACTTTCTTTGTGTCCTGTCTAGAGGTAATGCTGCCTAGTAATTTGTGTTGTTCTGTCTTTATATCTGTGTCTATGTGTATGTGTATACATATACGTATATTATATATGTTTATATACAGGTATATGTCTTTGTAATTACAGTATAAACTTAAGAATATAAACATATATATGTAGTTTTATACATACCTAAATATCTATAAATTTCTATATGTAGTTCTGTATATATGTATGTAATACATATGTAGTTCTGTATATATGTAATTTCTATATGTAGTTCTTTTCTATATATTCAATAACTATAGTTTTATATGTTTATATATAATTACATATATAAAACTGAATTATTGTATGCTTCTTATATGGTTCTATATACTTTTTTATATATGCAAAAACTATAGTTTTATTTTGATAAGGATTTAATTAATTCATTGATTTCATAGGGATTTTTAAATTGTTTTCATACACACTTGTTTTCTTTCATTGTCTCATTTCACTTAATTGCTTCTTGGTCTTTTTGTAAACATGTTATTTTTTTTTTTAATTTTGAGAATCCTAAATATACTTTTATTAAAATATTTTCTGATCACTTATGTGTTTTGTATTATTCAGAGTAAATTCACTTTCTGACTTATTTTTTTATTTCATTGTCTACCTTTTTTTTTTTTAATTTTTTTTTCAACGTTTATTTATTTTTGGGACAAAGAGAGACAGAGCATGAACGGGGGAGGGGCAGAGAGAGAGGGAGACACAGAATTGGAAACAGGTTCCAGGCTCCGAGCCATCAGCCCAGAGCCTGACGCGGGGCTCGAACTCACGGACCGCGAGATCGTGACCTGGCTGAAGTCGGACGCTTAACCGACTGCGCCACCCAGGCGCCCCTCATTGTCTACCTTTTAATGTGTTGATCTGCGGGCTTAGAGTAAACAATAATATATACACTTCTCTCTTATTTTGGAAATCTCTTTTTCTCTCTATTCAGTCTTTACCATTTAGTAGTTTGGGAGATGCTACTAAACCAAAGGCTTCCTGATCACCCATCCTGGCTCGGAGGCTAGGTCTGCCTTCCACCGTTTCCTGGTGTACTTTTGTGTAAGCAGTGAGTGCCTGTGCACGTGCACGTGCGTGCTCGCTCACACACACACACACACACACACACACACACACACACTAATTTTCATTGTCTTTGTTTCTTTTAGATATATTTTGTATGTTCTGGGGGCATATAAATGCTAAGCTACCAGGATTCAGCAGGCTTAGATTGTTAATATTTATATTTACTCTTTTTATTTTTGTGCTGGTTGTTGTCCAGAGAATTATTTATGCACTTGTGAACATATATATGTATGAGTGCGTTCATTTTGGTATGGCTATTCTGTTTTTAATTTCATCTTTACATATTATTATCCATAACTGTCTTGTGTTTATAGAAAAGGCCATCTTTACATATGGTATCACTAACTCTCCCAAAATTCCAGAGTGGGTATTTTAAAGCATAATTTATGGATGTAAAAGCTGAGGCTCGGAAAGTTTAGGTGGCTTATCTAGCATAATCAAATCGGCTTGCCATAAGTTCATGCTTTCCGCTATGCACCTGATTTTTTTTTCTAAAAACTGCTGTTTTACCTATCCAAAAGAAATTTTCCTGTGTTATTTATAATTTTATCAATTCCCAACATTTAAAAAAATAATCTTACAAATATATTAACACATCTTTATCCCTACACAACTGTCCATAGGCCTCACATGTTTGACAAAGCATTCGTATGTATGTTTAAAACAAACGTTAAAAAGCTTACATTGAAAAATGTTTGTATGTATGTTTAAAAATGTTAAAAAAATTACATTTAAAACAAATGTAAAAATATGTACATCAGCACCATAAATCCTTTCAAGAGTGTATATATTTGAGGGAAATTAGTTCCTACCACTGGTGAGTCAAATGATTGAATTAAGCCCTTTTGAATGTAGCCATTCATTAAATTCACAAATTCCAGATATAGTATTTTTGTCTGCGGATTTTTAATCACTGAGTGGGTCTCAACAATATTAAAACTCTCCTGTTTTTAAAAATATTTTTGGACTTATACTTATATGGGTTAAATAACTTGAATGCCCATCTTTAAATCCAGGTCAAATTTTCATTATATCATCAAATGAAAATTACTTAAAAATATAAAATAAAATCCTTATTGGAATGTAAAAACAAACAACTGAAATATATAGATAGATATAGATATAGATATAGATATAGGTATCTAGATATGATTGTAATCTAAGGCAGAAAGTTGAATGCTCTCCAAATTTTGCAAATATTGAAATATGGGAAATAGTAATAGATTTTTTTACATATTTAACATACTTACATTAAATATATTTGGGATTGTAGAATGGAATACTCAAATGCAAATAAATGTACAATAATCAACTAATACAATATTTCAGATACAAACATGCACAAATATTTATTCTCGTACATAGAGCTGACTATAGGGTAGTTAAAATGAGAGACAATCAAGCTTTGTATTTTCATATGAATCTTGCTATGGCCACATGTACAATTTGGTCTTCTGGTTATGATAATATAAAGAAGGAATTAGGAATGATGGAAATAATGTTTTAGTGAGTTGACATTAAGTAACAGCATTTGTTTTTTTTTTTTTTTTTTTTTTTTTTTTTTTTTTTTTTTTTTTTTTTTGGTGTTTGAAAATCCTTTTCCCTGAAGTGTATAGAGAGGAAATTATATGTTTACTCTTAAGTGGATGCACTGTTGTTTCTTTAAAAGTATTCTGAGGCAAGTGTTAAATTCCAAAAGTAGCATATTCAGATAAACATGATCAAAGATAGTTTGGGGTAAGAAGAAAGTTGATACAAATCAGAACACTGCACATAGAGAATGACTTAGTGTTTCCTTTACATACAGAAGATTGATTTTTACAGGACCTGGAGAAATCTACCAAACAGGGAATCTAAATCATGGTGAATCTTCTCTAGGTACTAGATTATGGTGTTCTTTCTTTTCCCACACAATACAGTAGTTTAAGCAAAAGTAATTCAAAATTTACAAAATATTCTGCAATTATGCATATTTTCCACCCATAGTTTGAAAAATATTCATAATAACAAGAGGAAATATAATTTGTACACCACATTATGATAGCCTCGCTAATGCAAGATGAATTCAAACGTTGCATTTCCTTTCCTGACTGTCCCTAGGACATATTTTTCATTTTTCCTAATTTAAAATTTTTCTACCTCCTAGCAATTGCAAGCAGCTCTCATAAACATGTTTGTCAGCTACGATTTCTCTTAAAATTTGCCCAAGAGCATATTACATGTACATTTCTTGTTTAAAGGAATGCTTCTGAATAAACTCAATGAAAGTTATTTGTACATATGGCTCAATTTTAAATACAAGCTATTCACAGATCATAACACATTAACATCAAACTGACTTTGAATGCGGATTTGCAAGCTGTTCATGGGTATGTAAAAATAAAACAAAACTGCTCAGGCCTATTCCATATTAAGTCAAAGCAGATCTCACATAGATTAAAAAGTATATGTAATTCGTGTTCACCTTCATTGTCCTTCAGAGTGAAGTTTGGGTTTACAGACAGGCGTTCATCAAGAAAGAAGTTAAACCTTGGTCCATTTGCAAAATCATCTTTATCAGTAGCACTGATGGTATGAATAACCTAAAGAGAGAAAGCAAATACTAAATAGTAAACTTAATTTTGCTTATTCCTTTGATTTTAATTATATTTGTCATCACAAAAGGATTTTAAAAAGCCCCCTTGATCCACCTTGCCCACTTTCAAATTTAACTAATAAACGTACCAGCTAATTGGCTCTTATATGAGATTTTAGGAAACACATTACAGTACAATTTATAATCATTCACACTTTATTTCCTAGCATAGCACAGACATTTATTTATTATTATTTTTTTTTCTTTATCACCCACAGTACCTTGGGCCAATTAGTCGCAAGATTTTGTATGGATACCTGTTTGGGGAAACATGAGTATCATGTGTACAAATATAAATATCCTAGTGTTCATGTACAACAGATTTGTGGTGTTCCTGGTTCTCAGTACATGCAAACACAGTGGAGTCATACTGTTTTTATTGTTTCGGGGAACTTTTGAGAGCATGATCTAGCCCCTCTATTTTACAGATAAGGATCGGAGACCCTAAAGGATTGTGATGGGACTCCTAACCGTTAAAATAGTAGCAAAGGCAAAACCAGACCACTCCGAGTTTTATGGAATACTTCTCATATACGGTGGTTGGGAGAAAGCAGTCTAAAATTTGGAGTCTGTGCATTATATAGCAGACAATGTTTGAATACATAAATAAAACATTCCAGGTGACCGAAGAACAGAACACAAATCCCAATAGCTGTAGACGTTACACTCTTAAGGAGGAAATGGCCAAACCAATAAGCAGGACAATATTCTCCTCTTTTAAAACTTTGTATCCTAATGCTTAGGTATCTTTCATCTATCCCTTCCTTAGATAAATTAAGAACAAAGAGAGCAACAAGAAGCTTGTGAAAGAGTGTGTCCTATATGGGAAATATAGTGTGTTCATTTCAAAAATTGTTACGATTTCTAAAAACATCTTACTCAATTTCATCCCATTTCCATCTTTTCTGAGTGAAAGAATACACCAGTATGTGCAACAGTTAAAATGTAAATTCCTGTCCAAGTATTGAGCCCATTAGTTGGTCTGGCAGATGAGGACGAATATAAAAGTCCTAAAAAGGAATCATCAGTGGCAGTGACACCAGAAAAGCATGTGTCCACACGCATTTCATTGCCAAAAGCGCTTCAGGCAATAGAAGTGATCCATTTCGTCCATATATGCATGCGGCTCTCACCCTGGCATCCTTGTTCAAGATGTACTTTCTCAGAAAGAAATCCTAGGTAAAGCCTCCTCCTTCCAGCCCACCTATTCCAAGAAGTCTCTATCATTCATCACTTCTTTCCTTCCCTTCACGCTATTACTTTATGAACTGAAAAATCTACGTATCTCCTTGATGTTTGCCTTCTTTTCCATCTAAAGCACAGCTACTCTCTGGATAGATCGTTCTTCCCTTGCTGTTGGCTTTTGACTTGATAGGAGAATAAATTGATGGATAATCAGAAACAATCTGACAACTTTTCTCAAGTGCATGAAAAGCTCCATGGAGGTCAGAGAATGTGTAGTATAATCTGAAGAACAGACCTACATTCTGTACATATCAGGTACTTAATATAAAACTGAAATAAAACTACCAAATTTTCAAGATTGTTTTCAGGGTAACATAATGTAAATGTACATTTTTTTTCTTTTGGAAAAAAAATGTCCTATCTCCCCCTACACTTTGTTCATGGTCATTCTCTAATTCTGAGTCCTATTATGCTGATGATAGCTCAAAACCTACAGACACATTTTCAAGTTCATTTCTTATCCTAGAATGTGATTCTGGAAGATAGTGACAGAGAACACTCAATTTAAACCAACTAAATTATTTTATGTTTCCTCTTATTACTTCTTTGGGACAATTATTTTTTTTCTCATTTGAAACTAATTTATACATTATTTTAAATTTCCTTAATGTGTTTATACTTAAGTTTATTCTATTTGTTGAGCACTGATATAATCTATATTTTATCTTTCCTGTCTTACTGTTATCTTTAGCAAAATGTACTTTCCATTTTTATACCAGTAATTTCAAATCTGCATTTGCCAGGAAGCTCACTGTAGCAAATTTATCTTCCTCAAAGATTTCTCGATCTCATGTCCGTAGCAAATGATGAGCTGATTACCACATTTTGTTTAAGAGGGAACCATGCATCTTGAATTCCTACAGAATTGTTGCTGACACATCTACACTTAAATATTTTTCCATACTTCTGAAAAATGCCTCCAAAACCATAGAATGTCGCTCTACTTTCATCTAGAACTCTGAGATATTCTGTTGATGCGAGAAGGTATATTCAATTTTTCTGTTTACTGATTACCTTTTTTTCTTTCAGTAGTAAATAGATTTCCATTTATTGTTTCCTTGGACTTTTATTAGTAAACCCAGCTCAGAAGGTAACATGTTTGGGGCTCCTGGGTGGCTCAGTCTGTTAAGCGTCTGACTTTTGATTTCAGCTCAGCTCATGATCTCAGGGTTAGTGAGACTGAGTCCAGCCTCAGGCTCTGCACTGACAGTGCGGAGCCTGCTGGGGATTCTCTCTCTCTCTCTCTCTCTCTCTTTCCCTCTCTCTCTTCCTCTCTCTGTTCTTCCCCTGCTCGTGTTCATGCTCCCTCTCTCTCTCAAAATATAAATAAACTTAAAAAAAAAAGAAGCTAACATGTTTGTGATTTTTAAAAGATTTAAGTGTCTAGATATCTAGATAAGTGCCATGTATCTGTCATTAATATTTTCTATTCTTTTGTCAGTAATGATTTATCTACACTCTGCTACCTGTGACGTTTGCTCAATTTGTTGGTGATGTACAATCCATTAACAATTTGCTTTCTCTCACTCCTTTTAACTGAAATTAGATGTTTCCTATCATATGCATATTATGTAATTAGTGCATAAATTCTTTGATTATTTTGAAAGATCTGAGAGAAGCAGTTACAGATTTATTCTACTAAAGGGAGGGAGAGTCCAAGTTGATAGTTGGTGTTTACTAAATAAATATATTCCTCTGTTTAAATGTGTTTTCCATAGTCTATTACTTCTTGAGTACTTTATTAAGGGGAAAAAATCAAACGAGTCAGTGTCACGGATTTATACAAATAATGTAGTCTTCTGTTAGGTAAATGAGGTAATCCTAACTAAACATTTAAAGTAAAAGAATGTTCTGTGGAACACACTGTATCTTCTTGAAAGTAATCAATGAATTTGCTTTATAATATAATCTCACATGGGCGCATATCTTTATTTAATAACAATACCAACCTTTGTTAGTTCAACGAGGTTGATCTTTGTAAAATCTAAGTGTAAGATGTCTGCTGATCTAGGTATATTTTTCATACAAAGTTATATTGTTAATAATTGACACGTTGGATGGAGGGAGGCTGGTATCAGACAATACATTTTTTTTAACAGATGTTATATTTCCTAAGTTTGCTGCTAATGAAATACACATACAAACACGGGAAAATTTGGTATAAATAAGCTAGAAATCGTCCTCATCATTTATGTTTCGGTTTTTATGTGTAGGCCCATCTCATTTATTTTGAATTCACTTTACTTTGGGAACTGACTTCAAATTTCATGCATGCATGATTTTCTTCTTAGTATTTTTTTTCATGCAAGGTACTTAAAAGATTTTTTTTCAGAACAGGGAACTATATTAACTCAGAGAAATATATTGTTGTATTTCAGGTGTATTGATACCTGAATCAACCTGAACTCTGCTGTTATATGTGGTTTAAACCTCTGCTTCACAAAAGATGAATCTCTTTGCCATGGCCACATGCTGTTTCATGTAGATGCACAGCATCCATAATAAAAATGTCTGTAATTCTAAAAGTGATTGTTATAGAAAGAGGAGCCTTGTACAGCTGGGCAATACAAATGTGCTTTGGAAAACTTATTTCACAAATTATTATTTAAATAGAGTTCCCGATTCCTACTCTGCATCAAAACGCACAAAGTTTCTCTAGAAAGTCTATAAATATAAGGTTAAATGAACCAAAACTGCAAAATTAAACAATAGGAAGGTTCAGACCATTTCCCTTGTAATAGGTTAATCATACAAATTGACCATACAGTTTGGCAATGTTGTTTTTTTTTTTTAAATAAGGGTGCAATAAACAATATTTTCTTTTTTTAATTTTTTAATGTTCATTTATTTTAGACAGAGAGAGACAAAGTGTGAGCGGGGAAGGAACAGAGAGAGAAGAAGACACAGAATCTGAAGCAGGCTCCAGGCTCTGAGCTGTCAGCATAGAACATGACACAGGGTTCGAACTTGCGGACTGCAAGATCGTGACCTGAGCCGACGTCAGGCACTCAACCGACTGAGCCACCCAGGCGCCCCAAAAATATTGTCAAGTGACTTTATTCCCTTAGTAAAATATTTTAATTCATCTTTGTGAAACAAATGTTTGGAGAAAGAAATGCTCAAGCAATATAAAGAACCCAGCTATTTTAAAGTGACTTCTAGGGCGCCTGGGTGGCGCAGTCGGTTAAGCGTCCGACTTCAGCCAGGTCACGATTTCGCGGTCCGTGAGTTCGAGCCCCGCGTCGGGCTCTGGGCTGATGGCTCGGAGCCTGGAGCCTGTTTCCGATTCTGTGTCTCCCTCTCTCTCTGCCCCTCCCCCGTTCATGCTCTGTCTCTCTCTGTCCCAAAAATAAATAAACGTTGAAAAAAAAAATTAAAAAAAAAAAAAGTGACTTCTAAAATTATGTAATATTAAAGACAACCATGATGCTAGATCTGAATATAGTCTTTAAAGGATAATAAATAGAATCACTTAATGAAATCACATTAGAACTTGGGGTGCTAAGTCTAGTGATTGACTGTTCTCTGAAAATAGTAATAGTTGTATGAAGAAAAGGAAAATACTATATACAGGGTTTAGACACCCAGAAAAAAGATACATTTTGTTATAAATTTAGCCTTTTCTAAAAAATGCAACAAATAGCTTTTCATGCCAGGAGAATAAGGTAATCCACATCTAAAGGAATCTGAGAGTCATCTAGT